CCGCAGGTCATATTTTACACCCTTAATGATCAGGGTCTTTTTTACATACTGACTTTGCAATGCAATTGGGAGCAAATTTTTTGGTTTAATTGTTTTTAATTTTTTATTGGGTTTCATGAAACCAGGAGCATATTTATTCATTTTTAATAAAAGGCATTTAAAATGGCAAAAGTACCTGATTGTGAACATTTTGTTGGTTGTATCTATCCATAAAAATATTCAAGATTTTAAAGTTTTGCAACTTTGGTGGGAAGCAGGGGCGTTATCAAGCAAAAATAGAATTGCTTGCAGTGTTTATGTGATCGCTGTGGCTCAGATTTTTATTTTTTTTTCTTCCAGGGGTTCCCATGGGAATTTAAGATTGTCTTTTAATCAGTTCAAAAATTCAACATATCGTATTTTACTTAAGAGGAAATTTCCACTTGTTATAGGAATGTGTGGTGTTAATCTGTCAAATTTCTAACCAAAATTTTGATTTTGGCTTCCCTGCAATAACCCGAGAAATTTTCCTTTTTTGGGCTGGTTTTTAAACTTTTAATACTAGTGCTCTTATGCAAAAAACTTCATATTGCTATTGCAAAGTGCACATGAAAAACCCTATTAAAATTTTTTAAAAATTTTGGTATTTTTCCTAGGAAATAACTTTTAAAACCCATTTTGATGGTTTTTTAAAACTTTTTTGCTGACCAACATAACAAAGTAAAAATCAGCAAAGTTTTATTTTGGCAGGGGGAATTCTGCACCTTTATAAAAATTTAAGAACTATACATTAATACCTACATGGAGACCGAAAAATTTTTGATAAAATTTTGGTCCGACTTTTGGGCCCTTAATAGTAACAATGCAGCGTGTGCACCCCACACACCAAAAACACACACACACACACTGGCTAGTTAAGGTCTGAGCCCCAAAGTTGATAGTTAACCCTTTTGGGTGTTTTTGGGCGTAATACAGTCCTTCAGCCAATGTGTTTTACGTATTAATACGCAAAATTCTAGTGGCTTCAAATCAAGAGGAGAAAGCTGGTAGGCCCCCTTTGAGACAAAGGGTTTTCCATGGTCAGTGTGCGCCCCTATAAAAAAAAATTGCGGCCAGCGGTGCATTGTGGGAAAGCCTTTCAGTAGTCCTTGTTCAGGGATACCAGAGGTAAGAAATATTTGGCTCCTGGCAAATCTGGGACTTCTCTTCCCAAGTGATCACTTAGCCAGATGGAAAGGTCAGTGAAGATCAATTTCATGGTTGAAGGAGTTTGTGCCAAAAAACAAAGCCAGGATACCAGAAGAAAGGAAAGGGGAATGAAAGGGGAATGAAGGGAAAGAAGAATGAAATGGAGAAAAAGGGAGGGAAAAGGGGAAGAAAAAAAAAGAAGAAAGGGAAATAATTAGGTAGGAGGATGAAGGGGAAGCAAGCATTGGACCCCATTGTTTTGACAGGCAGTAGGGGGAGTGAGTAATGGTACAATATGTCATTTTGACAGCTGCCAGAACCTGATTCAGCACATTTAGAGGTGTGTGTGTACACACACACACACACACACACACACACACACACACACACACACACACACACACACACACACACACACACACACACAAAAGAATATATTGTTGAAGGAAACTGAAGGTATGGTACACCAACTCTGATAGAATAACGAATAAGTGGGAGGAGTGGCATGAATCACAGAGGCATCACCAGACATCATAGCTCTCATAGAAACCAAGCTCACGGGAATCATAACAGATGCCATCTTTCCAAGTGGATATCAGATCCTGAGGAAAGACAGAGGAAACAGAGAGGGGGGAGGAGTGACACTGCTCATCAAAAGCCAAAGGGATTTTGAGGAGCTGGAGAGAGAAGACAGAGGAGAAGCAAGGGATTACATATCAGAAACACTTCAGACTGGAGCTTCCAAAATGGTGATTGCCATGATGTATAACCCACCACAGAATAGCCAAGGCAAGAATATGATGAGAGTAACAGAGCAATGGTTGACACACAGGCTGAAATGGCAAGAAGAGTCCACGTGGGCAGGGCAAAATTACTGATTGTAGGTAACTTCAATCACAAAAAAATTTACTGGAAAAACCTGGAGCCACATGGGGACCTAGAAACATGGAGGGCTAAGATGATGGAGGTGGTACTGGAAAACCTCATGCATCAACACCTAAAGGACACTACCAGAGAGAGAGGAGAGGACGAACCAGCAAGACTGGACATAGTATTCACTCTGAGTAGTGCAGATATTGAGGACATCACATATGAAAAACCCCTTGGGGCTAATGATCATGTAGTTCTGAGCTTCGAATACATAGTAGAGGTACAAGTGGAGAGGAAAGAAGGAAGAGCAGGACAAATGAAGCCAAACTATAAGAGAGGGGACTACATGGGCATAAGGAATTTCCTGCAGGAGGTTCAATGGGAAAGAGAGTTGGTAGGAAAGTCAGTAAATGAAATGTTGGACTACATAACAACAAAATGCAAGGAGGCAGAGGAAAAGGCTTTTTCCCCAGGGGTAACAGAAAAATGGGAAGACAGAATGAGCCCTTGGTGTGGGAGAGGCCAAAACCAAGTGTGCTAGAGAATAGAAGAAAGTTTAGAAATTATTAGACTCAGTGAAAAAAGTATGTAGATGGCCAAGAAGGTTGTAAGCAATTAAATGTGCTACACTAGCAAAAAATTAAAGTTACAAGGAAAATGTGATAACCTTATTGATGACATGGAAAAACTTTTACTGGGTGGACTGAAGATCAAACTAGTCACAGTGTGCCTTTAAGCCAAGCCATTATCCAGTCCAAGGCCCTAAGTCACTTCAATTCTATGAAGGCTGGGAGAGGTGGGGAAACTGCTGAAGATAAAATTTGAAGCTAGCAGAGGCTGGTTTCAAAGGTTTAGGGAAGGAAGCTAGCTTCCCATCATCAAAGTGCAGGGTGAAGCAGCAAGCGCCAATACTTTAGCTGCAGAAAATTATCCATATGAGCTAGCTGGAATAATCAAATGTGGTGGATGTACCAAGCAATAGATTTTTAATATGGATGAAACTGCATCAGTTTGGAAGATGCCCTCTAGGACACTGCTAAAGAAGAGAAGGTACTGGAAGTGCCTGGCTTCACAGCTGCAAAAGACAGGCTAACATTCTTGCTAGGGGCTAATGCAGCTCAGAGAATCCTATGTAGTGCCCTAAAGAACTATGCAAAAGGTAGCCTCCCTGTTCATTTTAAATACAATTCCAAAACTTGAATGACTGCCGATCTTCTCATAAACCAGTTCACAGACTATTTTAACCCTACAACTGAGGTTCACCACAAAGAAAAGAACATTCCTTTTAATGTTTTACTTCTTGTAGGTTGTGTCTATGTCTGCAAGCACAACTTCATTACTGCAACCGATGTACCAGGGTATAATTGCAGCCTTTAACCCTTTGAGGGTTTTGGTCGTACTAGTACGTCTTACGCGTAGGGGTTTTTGACGTACTAGTATGCATAAATTCTAGCGGCCTCAAATCTAGTGGGAGAAAGCTGGTAGGCCTTCATATGAAAGAATGGGTCTATGTGGTCAGTGTGCACAGTCTAAAAAAAATCCTGCAGCACACAGTGCATAATGAGAAAAAAAAACTTTGACAATTTTTTTGGAATAAATCAGCGACTTTGCAGTGTATTTTCGTATGGTATTTATTGTTGTATTCTAGTTTTCTTGGTCTCATTTTATAGAATGGAAGACATATTACAGAAATTGAGATGATTTTGACTGGTTTTACAATGAAAGGTGCCTTGAAATTGAGCTCAAAGAAGCAGAAATGTTCGATTTTTACCAAACTTCAAAAGTAAACAAATCGTGCCAAGCGTGCAATACACGTCAACTGGTGAGACTAATATTCTTTCACTAGTGCACCAATAATATTTATACCATTTTTTACACTAATGCAGTAGTCTGCATAATAGTAAATCTTATATTTTTTATGAGAATAAAAATTCAAAGTGGAAAGCAAAAGAATATAAGAGGGGCCTTGAGACGTGACTAATGACTAGAGGAAATGTCATTTTAGTGCCAGGAATGTCTTTCTTGTTTATTCTGGACCCTATTCGGAAATTGGCATCTTTTGAAATTTGTGTGAAATTGGCAAAATTGCTAAATTCTGACCACTGTACTGGATAGTTGAATTTCATAAATGGGTGGTTTCTTGCACCCATTCAATAGGAAAAATGGAGTTCTAGCGAAATATTCATGTTTTTTGTCGACTAGTACAGTGAAATTGGCCGAAAATGGGGCTCAAAGTGGGCAAAATCGCCGATGCATAAACATCGCCGAGACCACTAACTTTGCGAGAGCATAATTCCGTAAGTTTTCTATCAAATTTCAAACTTTTGGTGTCTTTATGATCGGGAAAAGATTCTCTATCTTTTCATAAGAGAAAATAATTTTTTTTTTTTAAATTTGGCCGACCCTGAGAACGAGTTTCGGAGAGGGCCTGTCGACCCTCAAAGGGTTAAGTCTTATCACCTAACAAGAACTTTCACTAAGCTTGTAAATGTCTTAGTGATAAAATGCCTGGCCCTAAACAAAATAAATTAAAAGGTTTCAGGATTTTCGATGGTAGTAAAAATATTAGAGATGTATGGAATGAAGCAAAAGAAACTACACTGAAGGTGTATGGAAGAATCTAATTCCTGAACTTATGGACAATTTTGAAGGCTTTGAAAATCCAGTGGAGGATGTCACTACAAATCAATGGATATGATATAGGAATTATAATTGGAAGTCTGAGGATATGGAAGAATTGCTTCTCTCTCATGATAAGGCCCTAACAGATAAATATCTGATTGAAGAGCAAAGAAAAAAAGTTTCATAAAGAGAAGATCCATGATAGTTCTGTTGCCATTTAAAAAATGATATCCAAGGATTTGAAAGAAGCTATCAGCCATGTAGAAATGGCAATGGCAAATTTGAGAAGACTGATCCAAATATCAAAATAAGTTTAAAAACGAATGCAACCCCTTTTAAATGGTGTTAAGTGCTATAAAGAAATTTTAAGGGAAAGGAGACAAAAATCCATGAGGCAAAGTTTACTGCTTTCCTACATTAAGAAAGTATGATGGTAACCTTCAACAGCAACAGTTAGCCTTGAACAGCCTTCACCATCAACCACAACACACACTTCACCCAAGTTTCCATCAAAACGAATAAAATTAAAGATAAAGATTTTATTTCTTGAAGTGTCAGAGGATGAAGATGTGTCATCTTCTCCTGACTTCCTACAACAAATACTACTCACCTCTCACCCTACATTAACCCTTTGACTCTTCTGGTCGTATATATACGTCTTACGAGCCACCGTTTTTGACGTGTATACGTATACTCATAAATTCTAGCGGCTTCAAATCAAGCAGGAGAAAGCTGGTATGCCCACATGTGAGAGAATGAGTCTGTGTAGTCAGTGTACACCATATGAAAAAAATCTGCAGCACGTAGTGTATAACGAAAAAAAAAACTGACCGTTCTTTTAAATTAACCCCTTCAGGGTCCAAGGCCAAAATCTGAAGTGGTGCTCCAGTGTCCAAGAAATTTTGAAAACAAAAATCATTATTTTTTCTTACAGAATTAAAGAGCATATTTTTGTGAAGGTAATAAGACAAAAAAAAAAATCTGATCAGTACTTACCGAGATACAGTGCCAAGAAGTTTGTCAAAAATGATGTGGTGGCGGCAACATTGACAAATTCCACATACGCGCATTACATTATTTTGCGTTTTTTATTGTTTTTTCTTTTCTTTTCCAATTTTTTTCTATTCCTACTAACATTTGGGGCCTGAGAGACCAATACTGTATATAATGTATATATATATAAACTCACTGTATTGAACACAATAACCGCACTAAATTTATTATCATATTATTGTTTACCACTGTTGTTTATTACAATAAACATGCACAAATATTGTATAATACTAATGTTCTATCATATATTTACATATTTACAATCACTGGACATGGTTTTAGAACTGCTGGAGCTTGTGGAACTCCTTGAAACAAGGCACCATGCACAGAGGCACCTTACATTCCTCACACATAAACCGAGTGTCTTTGCGTCTTTGTTACCGTCGTTTTGTTTGTGCACAGATGATGCATCTCTTCTGAGCAAATTTCTTCTGAGTTGAAGGAAGTTGTATTATGAAATGATCACCTTCCCTCCTCAAACGCTTGGGTATATCCTGAGGAATTCGAGGACCGTGTTGTATAGCAGGTGTTGTTACCTGGTACTTCATTATGAGTTGTCTGACAACAGACAAACAAAATTCACCATACGGTGGTCTGTTGCCAGTCTTTATTTGGTACATATTATATGCATTGAGCATTGAAATGTCCATGAGATGGAAGAAAAGTTTCATGTACCACTTGTAACTCTTACGAACACAGTCAACAAAAACAATCTGCATGTCACATTTGTCAACCAAGCGCATGTTTTGTGTATAATCAATCACTGTCACTGGTTTTCGAATACGTTCATTAGTCACTCGATCAACTTTGCCACTGTCTTGCATTTCATTACGGTGAATGGTTGTCAACAATGTGACATCTCGTTTGTCATGCCACCGTAATGCCATGATGTCATTGGCAGTAAACACCTGCACGTCATCACCACGAGCACCTGCGTTGAGCCTGGGCATATGTTTACGATTAGAACGCACTGTGCCACACACATCTGTCTTGTTCACTCGCATGAAATCACTGAGTAATGGGCTTGTGTACCAGTTATCGGTATATAATGTATGCCCCTTACCAAGATAAGGTGCCATCATGTTTCTCACTACGTCACCTGAGATACCCAATAACATCTTGGTATCTTTCAATGCTTTACTACCCGTGTATACAACAATATCCAACACCAGGCCACTGTCACAATCACAGAGTACAAACAGTTTTATACCAAAGCGTTTCCTCTTGCTCGGTATATACTGCTTGAATGACAGTCTACCTTTGAACAAAATCAAAGACTCGTCAATTACAAGATTCTTGAATGGATAAAAGTATATGCTGAACTTTTGTTTGAGATACATGAAAACATTTCTAATCTTGTATAACCTGTCACTTCTGTCAGGCCTGGTTTTGTCAGAGAAGTGCAACATACGTAAGAGTAAGATAAACCTGTTCACTGGTATGATTTCACTGAAGACCGGGGTAGAAATTAGCTGATCTGTGGACCAGTATGCTTTTATATTATGCTTATAGATGTGAGGCATAAGCATTATTGTTGCAAAAAGCAAATACATTTCCGCAACAGTCGTCTCTTTCCACCTGTGTAGTCTTGACTGTGGTGATAAGATCGTATTTGCCATGGTGTACTCAAAATACTTATTACTTTCCCTGACAATAATTTCCATCAATGGCTGGTCAAAGAATAATTCAAAGAATTCCAGTTCATTGGCCATGGTTCCAAGGGGACAAGTAGGTAGAATTCCACTTTGAGAGTCATCAAAGTGGTGAGGCTTGGGAACAAAATTGGGATTTTGCTGCCAATCCCACATGCTGGTGGATACTGGACATCATAGGCTGGTTGTGCGGGTGGTTGTGGTGGGCTGGTGGCTGGCGCTCTGCTTTGTCCTTGAACTGATGAGTCAGCAGCGTGGGTCCCAGCGTGGCCTGGTGAGTCACGCATGGCGGTGCCACTACCATCACCACTAACACCATCCACTGATGCCTGTGGTCTATCCATGCCAAGTGTAGCCACATCATCCTCACTATCACTACCTAAAACTGGTGTTGGGCCACGGGATGTACTCCGGGATGTACTCCGGGATGTACTCCGGGATGTACTCCGGGATGTACTCTGGGATGTACTCCGTCCCCTGGGCACAGCATAGGGTACACTACCCGAGCGCATGCAGTGGTGAACATACCGACGCTTCACTGGTGAATATGATTCCTCACTATCACTACTCGAATGATCGTCGAGCGCAATAAAATCACAATCCACGTCACTATCATCATCATTACTGAAGTCAGAGGCCTGGCCACACGAAAATATTAGTTTTCTCTTGCGATGAGGAACAACCGACCGTGAGTCACGAGTGCCCACACCAGAGGTAGAAGGTTGAGGATCGTCAGGGTTTTCTGCACTATTATCGATATCCTGGTCATTCTTTTCGGTCACTAACTGATCAAAGCCGTAGAATTCGTCTTCAATTCCACTTCCATCAGTGTCAGAACTATCAGATAGGAAGAGGAGAGTCCCAATTTTCCGGGGAGTGAGAGCTGACTTGCGACGAGGCATGGTGAACAAGGGTAACTGAGCCAGCGTTCCCACAATGCTATGCGGGCGCCCAGATTTTTTGTTTATGGCGCACACTCACCACACAGACCCGTTCTCTCACATGTAGGCCTATGAGCGTTTTCGCACTAAATTTGATGGCGCTAGAATTTTGGCATAGATCTATGGTTTGGACACTCAACGTGAAGCCGTAGATCTACGGGACGGACCCTGAAAAGGTTAAAATGCCGACTTTGTGGCCTGTTTTCGTATAGTATTTATGGTTGTATTCTCGTTTTCTTGGTCTCATTTGATAGAATGGAAAACATATTATAGAAATAGAGGTGATTTTGATTGGTTTTGCTATGAAAAGAACCTTGAAATGGAGCTTAAATTAGCAGAAATGTTTGATTTTTGCAGATGTTCAAAAGTAAACAAATGATGTCATTTTCCAATAAATGTCCAAGTAACCATTCTAATATGCAGTCATGAATGGGTTGACATTATTTATATAATTATTACAATATTGCGGTAGTCTGCATAACAGTAAATCTTCTATTTTTTGTTTGAATAAAAATTCAAAATAGAAAGCAAGAGTAATATCAGAGGAGCCTGGAAACGTGACTGATGAACAAAGAAAATGTTATTTTAGAGCCAGGAATGTCTGCATTGTTTATTCTGGACCCTATTTTGAAATTGTCATATTTTTTTTAATTTTCATGAAATTGGCCAAATTGCAAATTTCTGACCACGTTATTGGGTAGTTGAAATCAGTAAATGGGCAGTTTCTTGTACTCAATCGAGAGAAAATATGGAGTTCTAAAGAAATAGCTATGAGTTTGGTCAACTGGAACAATGGTATTAGCCGAAAATAGGGCTCAAAGTGGGCAAAATCGCCAATTTGTAAATACTGCTGAGGTTGCTAACTTCACGTGAGCATAATTCCGTCAGTTTTCTATCAAACTTCGTTCTTTTGGTGTCATTACAATTGGGAAAAGATTCTCTATCATTTCATAAGATTTTTTTTTTTTTTTTTTTTTGAAATTTTGAAACACCAGGAGACACCTCAGGATTTGGGGTTGCAACAGTCAAGAGGTTAAGACTACAAATATTTTAAGGCAAGTAATAAGTGTACTGTATATGCATTTTACTTTTTTACTGTTATTTTATACCTATCTAGAAACCCATCAGTTACACAACCCAGGGCAACATGGGTTTAGAACAGGTCGCTCCTGTCTGTCTCAACTACTGGATCACTATGACAAGGTCCTAAATGCACTAGAAGACAAAAAGAATGCAGATGTAATATATACAGACTTTGCAAAAGCCTTCGACAAGTGTGACCATGGCGTAATAGCGCACAAAATGCGCGCTAAAGGAATAACAGGAAAAGTCGGTCGATGGATCTATAATTTCCTCACTAACAGAACACAGAGAGTAGTCGTCAACAGAGTAAAGTCCGAGGCAGCTACGGTGAAAAGCTCTGTTCCTCAAGGCACAGTACTAGCTCCCATCTTGTTCCTCATCCTCATATCCGACATAGACAAGGATGTCAGCCACAGCACCGTGTCTTCCTTTGCAGATGACACCCGAATCTGCATGACAGTGTCTTCCATTGCAGACACTGCAAGGCTCCAGGCGGACATCAACCAAATCTTTCAGTCGGCTGCAGAAAACAATATGAAGTTCAACAATGAGAAATTTCAATTACTCAGATATGGTAAACATGAGGAAATTAAATCTTCATCAGAGTACAAAACAAATTCTGGCCACAAAATAGAGCGAAACACCAACGTCAAAGACCTGGGAGTGATCATGTCGGAGGATCTCACCTTCAAGGACCATAACATTGTATCAATCGCATCTGCTAGAAAAATGACAGGATGGATAATGAGAACCTTCAAAACTAGGGAGGCCAAGCCCATGATGACACTCTTCAGGTCACTTGTTCTATCTAGGCTGGAATATTGCTGCACTCTAACAGCATCTTTCAAGGCAGGTGAAATTGCCGACCTAGAAAATGTACAGAGAACTTTCACGGCGCGCATAACGGAGATAAAACACCTCAATTACTGGGAGCGCTTGAGGTTTCTAAACCTGTATTCCCTGGAACGCAGGAGGGAGAGATACATGATTATATACACCTGGAAAATCCTAGAGGGACTAGTACCGAACTTGCACACGAAAATCACTCACTACGAAAGCAAAAGACTTGGCAGACGATGCACCATCCCCCCAATGAAGAGCAGGGGTGTCACTAGCACGTTAAGAGACCATACAATAAGTGTCAGGGGCCCGAGACTGTTCAACTGCCTCCCAGCACACATAAGGGGGATTACCAACAGACCCCTGGCAGTCTTCAAGCTGGCACTGGACAAGCACCTAAAGTCAGTTCCTGATCAGCCGGGCTGTGGCTCGTACGTTGGTTTGCGTGCAGCCAGCAGCAACAGCCTGGTTTATCAGGCGCTGATCCACCAGGAGGCCTGGTCACAGACCGGGCCGCGGGGGCGTTGACCCCCGAAACTCTCTCCAGGTAAACTCCAGGTTCTATTGCTAACTTAATATATGATAGTGTTAACATGTTATCAGGCATTTATATGCCTGATAACATGCTTTTATATTTTATGGTGGAAACCCTGGAACCAAACCCGCTGTGAAAGCGGGGCCCTCTATGGGTTTCTCAATTTTTTTTCCCTAGTATTATTTGTTTTTTAAATTTGGTAATTCACATGTTTTTGGTACATTTCGTATACTACATCATATTTTTTATTTTCCACTCTTTGTAGTTTTTGTTATTTTTTTTTTATAATCAAAACTGGGCATTCATCTTGTAATGTTTTTTAATATTGCCCTTAAAACTAAATCTATTGTTGTTTTTTTTTTATAAAATCTTTTTTTTCCCGGGATCATAACTGCAGCAACCCAAGAAATATCAGTTTTTAAATTTAAAAAAGTCAGACCCCGGGGGGTAAACACAAACAATACTGCAGTCATAAATTCATTATGATAATACAATTTCTTTTTTCTTACAAAAATTTTGGGCCCTTAAATGAAACATATAGGCATTTTAAGCTTGACAGCAGCATAAAATGAAAGACTGATCAAATTTTGGGGGGAAAATTGCTACCCTACTACCCAAAGGGAGTTGGGGTTTGAATTACAAAAAATTCAGTGGGGGATAAATTTTGGCAAATTTATATTTGTGTTTTTAAAACCCAAAAATTTAAAAAACCCTAAAATTATAATCGAAACTGTCTACGGTTTCCAATCCCAAATTATTGCCACCTTCAGTGTCCCCTTAATAAAAATTTTAAACATAAACTTTAAATAAAACAAGCATCATTAATTGTTAAAGATTTTCAACATAAACTCTTTCAAGTTAAAATTCTGCAACCCAATTTCCCAACAAAAAATTTCTGAGAAAACCGCATCCTCCTTGATTTTTTTGGCCCAAAACATAACCCCTCTAAAAACAGAAAAATTTCACAGATTTGACACTATAACTGATTTACCCTCCCTTTTCTTGAAAAAAAATATAAAATTTTTTTCCCACTCAAAAATAATAAAAATCCCCCATTCCCGCCCCAATGCGGGAGCCCCCCCATTTAAAAAACTACACAGCGTCAGTGACACTGGAATTTTTGCTATTAACAGTCCCCCCGGGGGGCAGGGGAAAATTTTTACTAAAAAAATCTTGCATGGACACAAGATCTGTGTTTTCATTTTTAACCCCTTGGCCTTCTCCCAAAGGTAAGGTGACCCAGAAAAAAAAAAAAAATTTCACTTCATTCATTCAGTTTTGTTTTTGTCAAAATTTGTGGGGGCCCAAAATTTCCAAAGTAGTGCTTTTAATTTAAAAGGGTTTTTGGAAGGAGTGTTGTTATTTAAAAGGGGCCCTACAAATAATTGGCTATCCCAAGCCCTTTTTTAAAAGGGTTATAGGGGTTTCACTTTGACTCAATAAGGAATGGCTGTTGTGACCCTATAAAACTACAAAAAAACCCTTTTTTTTTGTTACCCCAAACTTTCTCATTAACCCCCAAAAACCAAAAAGCCCCGGGAAAAAATTTTTAAAACATGGAAAATTTAAAAAAAAAATTTCAAAACCTTTTTCAAAGAGTATTTTTTCCAAGTAAAAATTAAAAAAAACAAAAGAGAAACCCAATGAAAATTTTACAAAATTTACGAAGTGCTGATGATGGCAAAAAGTGATCCTTTTTTTTTTGGAAGGGGGGAAAACATTTACAAAAAAAGTGCAAAGATTATTTATGTTTTTTAATTTTTCAAAGTCAAATTATCACTTTTCATTTTTTTGGGTTTTTTTAAAAGAGCTTTTAGTATTTAAAAACGGGGCAGAGGAAAACACATCACACCTTTAAAGTCATTATAAAACTTTCCCTTTATATAGTACTTAAATTTAACAAATTTTTAAAAACAGGCAGAAAAACACATCACACCATAATTTTTTTATCAACATTCCCATTATATATTTACTATTAAAATACTTTAAAAAAACGGCAGAGAAACACTTTCCACCATAAGGGTCATTATCAACTTTCCCCATTATTTTAGTACTTTTAAAAATATATATAAAACAGGCAGAAAAAACCATCACACCTTAAACGTAATTATCAACTTTCCCCTTTATATAGTACTTTTATAATAAAATATAGTACTAAAATAGGTAGTAGGTTGGTGACAGAAAACCCCAGGGAAGAACTCCCGTCCGGCCAGATGATGTGTGAAAAAAAAACCCTTGAAAACTGTTTTGCATGGGGTTTAGGTTTTGTTTGGTTTTTTTTTTGTCTCAAAAACACGCTAAGAAAAAAAAGGGGATTATTCCTTTGGCCCTTAAACCCTCCCTATTTAAAAACCTTTTTTCCCTTTTTTCAAACCGCAACCCATTGCATATAAAAAATTTTTCCTGGTTTTTATCCCAAAAAATAGCTCTTTTTCCCTTTTTTTTTTTCTTCAAAAACCAGGGGAAAAAAATTTAAAAAACTTTTTTAAAATTTGGTGCGTTTGAGGGGGATAAAAGGGGGGAAAATGGGTTTTTTGATAAAAATTTTCCGGGTAACAAACAAAAAAGGGGGGGGAAAGCCCAAATTTTAAATAAAACTGGGTTTGGGTTTTAAGGCGGGGGGGAAAGAAAGGGGGAAATGACCGGGGGAAGGGGGAAAAAAGAAAATTTGATGTTTAAATTTAAAAAATTTATTTTTGGCCCCCAAAAGGAAAAAGCTGAAGGGGGTAAAAAAAGGGGGTTTCATGGGGGGAAAAAAAAATTGGGGAAAAGGGGAGAGGGGGGGGGGAGAGGGGAGGGGGGCAAAAGGGAAAGGGGTTGGTGGGGGGGCGGAAGGGGAAAGAAGAGGGGGAAAGGGGAGGAAAAAAAAGGGGGGGAAAAAGGGGGGAAATTTAAAGGGTTTTGGGGGAAAAGAAAGGTTGGGGGAGAAGGGGGGAAATAAGGGGGGGGGGAATGAAAATGGAAAAGGAGGAAAAGAGAGGGAGGGGAGAGAATTTTGGGAAAAGTTAAGTGAATTTTATAGGAGCCTTTGAACCAAGTGAGAGAGTAATTTTTGGAAAAGGGGGACTTAAATTGCAAAAAGTAGGGGGAAACTTTTAGAGAGGGTGTGGTAGGTAAGTTTGGGGGGTCCCGGGGGTGAAAAAGTAATGGGACCCCTTTTTGATTAAAACTTTGTATAAAAAGGGGGTTTTAGTTATAGGTAATCCCTTTTTTAAAAAGAAAAAAAGAGGATAAAAAGTTTTACACGATAGGGTGTAGGGCGAAATGAAAGTAGTTTGGGGGGATTATGTTTTGGGGGTAGATAAAAGACTGTTGAGTAGACTTCAGGTGTACATGTTTATAGAGGGGCCACAGTTAATATAGATCACTTTCTAGTTTTTACCCTACACTGAGAGTAAAAGGTAGATGGGTTTAAAAGGGGAGAATAAAAGATCGGGGGAAGAGAGAGGTGAAGTTTATAAACTAAAAGAGGAGGCAGTTAGGGTAAGATTTTAAACGCTATTGGGGGGGTAGATGGGCAATGAGAGCATAGGCAATGGGGTCGAAGAGGTTTTGGGGTTTTGGTTTAAAAAATGTGTTTTTAAAATGTTCAGCAAAAGTTTGTGGTTACGGAAGGGGGGTGCAGGAAAAAAAGAGGAGCGTTGGGTGGTGAGTGTTAAAGAGAGTAGTAAGGGGGGAAAAATTTGCAAAGGGAGAAGTTTTTAAAAAAGTAGAAGTGATGAAGGATGGGAATTTTTATAGGGAAAGAAAAAGGAGAAGTTAAAGGGAGGGGGGTGAAGAAATTTGTAAAAAGAAAAGCAAATGAGAGGGGTGGGGGGAGGTTTCAAAAAATTTTTTTGAAAAAAAGGAAAAGTTTTGGAGTGGATTAACAAGTTAAAAAAGCCTAGGAAAAAAAGGGTTTTGGTCGTTAAAAATAGGGGGGAGTTTTAAATTTGGAGAGGTAGAGGTTTTTGGGGAAGATGGAAGGAATATTTTGGGGGAATTGTTAAATGTTGATGAAGATAGGGAAGCTGTAAATTTGTTTAGGGAAAGGGGGAAATTAAACTTCCCTTGAAAGGGGGGTGGGGAAAGGGGGCCGTTGGGGAAGGGGGGGGGAATTTTCGTGAGGCAGTTAGGTAAAATGAAAGGGGGAAAGGAAACCCCGG